AAAATTCGAAAATCTAATCCAAGAAGAAATTGCTTAGCAAACTATGATATATATAATGTTGCACACAACTGTTAAATTCTGTTATCATAATAATCACTATGACGACCAATACTTGAAGAAGGCTTATGGGAGTAAATGAAAAATAATATGGAATCTTTTACATTCTGATATAAGTTTTATGTTTGCAAGTTATCAAAAATATTTTTTTTTATTACTTATCATAATTTTTTTTATGGGGCATTTGTTGCAATGTGTGGCACTATAAGGGTCAATTAATGACAGACCGCCTCTTTTAATACTTCTTCACACAAGCCGACCACAGCCATGTTTAGCTCAAATATATCAAGCTTTATTGCACTTGGGCCCAATGCCTTGAACGATATAAATTGATTTTCAGCTCTTACACTTCTTCCTAATTAATAACAGTCATAGTGGATTTCATATTATGGCAATACTGTTAACAAGAAGTTTATATTTCATAAAAAACCTCAGTCTAATTTCAACTAGAGGGGAAAGTAACATACGACACATTGTACAACTCATTCTTATTCTGAGTCAACCCTATCTGGCGTCTTAATTGTTTTATCTTCAACAGATAGATCCTGACTACTTGAAAAGACCTTCTGAATAAGATTCATGCATGTTTCACTGGATGAATATGAATGAGGATACTCGTTACTCAGCCAAAGACTTACAAAGACTCTTACAATTGGGGTCAGTTTCAAGCTCGGCTATTGTCATGGCCATCAGGTTTTTCACCATTTTCAGCTATTTCTTCTGTTGTTCTTCATTTTAGTAAAATATATGGTTTTGAATTAATTCGCTGTTTTATATGCCAATATATTATATTTGTAAACATATTATAACATGTTAATTCCCTGCAAATTTAGAGCAGATCTTGGTGGACTGTAACCACACATCTCTTTGTTGTCCTCTGACTAGGTGGGCTAAATTGGTGTCATTCAACCTTCGTTTCTTTGAAGGAGTGTTTCCCATGTTCTATATACCTCAAAACTGAAAAAAGGTTAGATGACATAAATGTCGAATTGACAAATAACAAAATACCCCCGCAATGACTTGAATTATTATAAGCACTTAAAATTTTAAATGCTAAACATAACTGGGACAACTTCAGCACAGTAATCTAGCGTTTATTAGTAAATATTAATTTTATAACTTATAGATTAATATTTAGGTTGTGTATCATTTTATATGTGGTTTTATACTCAAGCACATTTTGTTATGAAAAAAGTTTGCATAAGCTAGTTACTTCCTTTTTTAAAAGGTGTTAGTATATGGAAGAAGAGTTTCAGCATGAAGTCTAAAAGTGAGGGGAAGACATGCCTAGGCATCATTTTATAAAATATAAAGTCTTAAAGTTAATTTATGATTATATTAAAATTCATTACCTTTGTTTTTCCATTAAGAGAACTTAATATTTGCCTCTAACTATTACTGCACAACATATATGTCACAATATAAGATTGCAAGAAAATAATCTAGGCAATTAGAAATGAGTAACTTGAGCTGAGGTAGAAATATAAATTTATATTACACTTAGTGTACTCAAACATAAAAATTAGATGATTAAAAAACTAAATGATTATCTAATGAAAGAGGGAAAAAACTTAACAATCAAGTCTCCACTACAATTTACAACTGTGGGGTTAGCTTACTTCAATGAAATCCTTTTTCTCCATTTGTGTCAATATTAAGCATTAGTTCTCAGTGTATAAACATCTATAAACGAAAGGTCCATCTGACCTATATTTATTCACTAATTACAAATGTCTAATTTAAGCGAATATATACTACCTACGCTTTAATTTAAATAACAGTCAAATCTAATTACCTTCTATCAATCTCCTAATCTGGTCACGGAAGGACCCGAGTACTAATTATGTTGAACCAAACATCTAAAAGGCGACTATCTATTTTTCTCTTCTACTGTAGACTACTCAAAAGTTTCACACGTAAATATGCTTCATTCTTGTATCCTTCAATACTATCTAAAGGAGTAAAGCCACCTCATCTCAACCTAGAGCATACCTCATCTCTGCCACACTTAACTTAGTATTATGCTTCTATTTTAATCTGTGCCAAACATTCTGGCACTATAAAATTGCAGGCCCTACTCATCAATCTATAGAATTTTTTCATGTAAGTTTTGAGGGGTATCCTTTCTATCATACATCACAAAGATCAGATGCATTCCTCCACATTCGCCATCCAATTAAATATACTGCTCCGATTTAATTATCATCTATTTCAAAAAATCACTCTGTACAACTAAGAATCCAAGATATATTAAATTACGGTGCTACATCTTATTAATGTACTTGTATCACTCCAAAGACACCCATCACAATCCACACTCACTAGTTGTCTATTACTATCACAAAATTAACTACACATATTTTAATTCACCATTTTTTAGATTCTACTCAGAAGGCGAAAACCTTAGATCTCTAAGATCCTCCATTAATTCAACTTTACCTTCAACTCCCTCTCTAGTCTTATCAACAAGAAGAAAAATCATCAGCAAAAAGCATAACCAAGGTACATCCTCTTGCCAAATGTCATATGAGAAACATCCATGACTAAAGCAAAAAAGATATGGGGTTAAGGCTGATCCTTGATATAACCCAACCAAGAAATAGGGAAATACTTGGTCAATCCACCTTATGTTTTGAACACAAGTAATAGTCTGCATACATATCTTTATGATTTATACTACACATTATGACTCTTTCTTATTATAAAGAATCTCCATCAGCACTTTCTCTTGAACTTATTCATATGCTTTTTCATAATCAATAAAAATATACATATGTTGACATCTCCTTATTTTCTCTATATTCTCCATCAAACCTCTTAAAATAATGTAGGTTCTTCCATAGTCGATACCTACCGGCATGAATCCAAATTGATTTTGAGAAACATATAGTATCACGCCGCAACCTTGCTCCATAACTTCGCTCCCATAGTTTTAAAGTATGAC